GTAGGACTAATGGGATGTTACACTACTGGCGTCTTCTCAATAACCCATGACTTTCCCCTCCAGGGCTAGGAACAAGCTCTTTACTTGTCTCGTCAATGATGATCTTGGGGCTTGCTCAACAAATCCAGACTCTTACCAACGCAATACAAGCTATCACCCCACTCCTCCCTTAGTTGACGCAGCTGATGATTCTAGCACAATGGCCACACTCCCCCCCCTCAACTGTCGATTGCACATCTTCACTTGAAGCTCGCCGGTGAACCTCCTCTACCGAAAGGGATGAGCGGTGCCACACTACACCCTCTGATGGTAGAATGCAGCATTCCACCAAGCCGCACCTAAACCCTGCTAAAATCCAAGGCCCAGTTTGTCAATTCCTGGGAACACTCGATGAAGGTACAACTCTAAGCCATGAACCAAAGGCTAGACAAAGTTCAGTAGGAACTCTGGTACCCCCGCGACGAACCCAACATGCCCCAAATATCCCCCTTAATTTAGAGCATCTAGGAGGAGCCCATCCTTGCTAGCTTCCGCCTCCCCTACCTGGAAACCTTCGATGGAAGCTCTAACCCCATAGAACACACCATCGTGTTTTGGGCCTAGATGTCTCTGTTCGGCACTTTAGATGCTCTGATATGTCGGACATTCCCGACGACACTATGGGGGCCAACCTAGGAATGGTACAATTGCCTCAAGCCCCTTTCAATTACTTCTTTTTCGTAGTCGCCAAAGAATTCGAGTTCCACTTCCTTGCCAACATGCGACCAAAGCCCTCAACCATTGTCTTGCTTAAGCAAAGGAAGGATGAGCCCTTGTTCGGCTTCATCACCTGATTCACCGGGGAGATCCAAGGGATTTAGCCACCTCTTGTTAATAATCCAAGCCTTTATGATGGGCTTGAGGCCTGCCCGCTTTTTTTGGTTATTAGTTAAGAGACCTCCCATAATCGTCCTAGAGATGCTATAAAGGGCCAACTAGTGCACATTAGTTGAAGCCATGATCTTGGGACGTCGAGAGGAGGGTAACAGGAGGACGCGCTATGAACCTCGGGTCTCGGCCCCAAAAAAGGCATCACCGAACAGATGATCGATGGGAAAGAACGGGGCTACTCTCCCACAGTATACGAGGATGGAAATTTTTCTCCAAATAAAGGAGAAGGGCCTACTAAAGGGAGCCCATACCCATGAGAGGGTCTCCAAGATAGAGAAACAAATCCAAGTACTATCGTTTCCACCGTGACTATAGACATGACACAAAAGAGTGCTAGGATCTAAAGTGCTAGATTGAGGAGCTCATCAATGCTAGTTATAGGTGCCTTGCAAGCCAATCACGTGAGTGATGACACGTGTGACATGATACACATTCTTTTTGCTTATTATATTATTTGATATTTTATCACTTTATCTTACATGCTGCATATATTGTGATATCCGTGGATTTGTGCAATGAGAATTGGATCGTGATGAGATCACGATAATGAGACCGATTCACCTTTAAACATAGACCCTATATAATCCCGGTCATAGGTTACTCAAAAGGGACATTGAGATGATTGGATAGACTGGTGTACTATACACATTTCTATATGATGAGGGCAACTGATCTAATAGCTACTCATGTGGGGACATTAGGGATACCACGCATGTACTCATTAGAGAATGAATTTACTGATTGATCCGCTCACGAAGTGTTGGATAGTTGATGATACCTCATTGTCAAGTAGTGATTCCATTGTCCTAATGGTGTATATAGTCCTTAGACTTAAGACACCTAAGATGTCCTATATGAGTACTTCACTCTTTGCTACCAGACTTATAGACCTAGATGTTCAAAATTTAACATAATTGATCATCGGGAGTGGCAGCCAACCTTACGAGGGCTATTGAGTGTCGATAGAGGATCATCCACTCTTGGTGTTATGAGAGGAATATCTCATGTGTTCTTGCTCAAACAAATCCTTGGCTAGGGTCATTTGGATTGAGAGAGAAAGAATTCTCCGGAAGAATCCGATTAGAGCAAGACTTAAGTATAAACCGTATGGGCCTGATAACACTATGCATGTTATACAATCTCTAGGATACTAAATGGATGAGAGACTATAAATACATGGTAATTGAGGATAGATAGGTCCAAGGGATTGGATTCTCCTATATCGTTTGGGGACTATAGTGTAGTGATCTAGTATGTCCACAATCTATGAGCCAAGTGAATTATTATGAAAAGAATAATTCATTGAGCTAGAATGAGTTATGATAGGTATGACTCATGGTCAGCTCGATATTAGGCCTAAATAATCACACACATATTGTAGATGTTGCGACGAGTAAAGGTTCAAATATGAGATATTCGCTTGAGCCCTTATCTTATTGAATATCCAATAAGCCCATGAATTATTGGATAATATAGAGGAGATCTAATATGAGTCAATGAGAGATTATTAGGTAGAGATCCACTAATATAAAAGACTTTGGTAGTTGGATGAAGATTTAGTACCTAATTCATTATGATTAAGTTAATAGAGACCTCTATAAATAGGAGGAAACCAAAAGGTATAGGCTATACCTCTTCTAGCTACCATCTCCTGTTCTCCTCTCTCCCTCTCCTCCTCAACCTACAACCCCTGTTTGGGCATATGGATAGCAAGAAGGGCCAACCTTTCTTGATTTTGTGGTGCGCATAGTGAGGAGGATTGTGCAACGATTTGAGGAGCATCTTCATAACTTATACCATGTGGATCACCACTAAAGAGGACAGTTGACCTCATTCATCCTCTCCCATAGATCTATAAGAATTCAGGGATATACGATCTCCCTAGGTAACACAATCTTCTTATATGTATAGTTTTTCAATTTTATGGATTTTTGCGTATCAATTTTTGCATGACAATAAGAGACTAATTTTTATATGAAAATCTGAGATTTTGTTTTCTGTTCTTCCGCTGCCCATATGATATTGCTCCAGATTTCCCAA